ACTAAGATAAAAGTCGAACAATGTAAAGCAAAAGAGAAGCTAAAATATTTAAACCCTCGAAGTCTCCATGTTGAAGTCTTCAAGTGTATTCAAGTTGAAGTCCCCAAGTTGAAACCTTCAAGTCCGTCGCTCTTCAAGTTGAAATCTTCAAATTCGCTGATCGTCAAGTTGAAATATTTAGGCCCTCCAAGTCTCAAAGTTGAAGTCTTCAAGTTCGTCGGTCTTCAAGTTTCAGTCTTCAAATTCGTCGCTCTTAAAGTTGAATTGTTTAAGCCCTCCAAATCTTCGAGTTGAAGTCTGCAAAGTCCGCCAAATCTTCAAAGTTTTCCAAGTGTTCAAGTCGATGTCATCTTTGAGTTGAAGCTTTATAACTTTCCAATCTTAAGGTGGACATATAAGTCCCTTTCCACCTTAAGTTGGCCTCGCCGATAGTCGAGCCACATTGCGAGTAATCTCTCTGATAGTCAGGACACATTGAGAGTAATCTCTCCCATAATCGGGTCGTTTTGAGAGTAATCTCTCCGATAGTCAAGCCACATTCTGTGGACATATAAGTTTTCTAATCTTAAGATGGACATATAAGTCCCTTTGCACCTTAAGTTGGCCTCACCGATAGTCGAGCCACATTGAAAGTAATCTCTCCGATAGTCAGGCCATATTGAGAGTAATCTCTTAGATAGTCGGGTCATTTTGAGAGTAATCTCTCCTATAGTCAAGCCACATTCTGTGGACATATAAGTCTTCCAACCTTAAGGTGGACATATAAGTCCCTTTGCACCTTAAGTTGGCCTCTTCGAGGGTTTGTCCTTAAAAGGAACTATAACTTTCCAATCTTAAGGTGGACATATGAGTCCCTTTGCACCTTAAGTTGGCCTCGCCGATAGTCGAGCCATATTGAGAGTAATCTCTCTAATAGTCAGGCCACATTGAGAGTAATTTCTCCGATAGTCGGGCCACATTGAGAGTAATCTCTCCGATAATCGGGCAATTAAGAGTAATCTCTCCGATATTTGGGCAGGGATGAGTAAATACCCTAAGAACGCCTTCTTCATGTGTAGATCATTTTGTTGAACAAGAGCATATCTTTCTCGCCTGACCTATAAAAAAAGGTAAAAAGACAACAAAGGAAAAAAAACACAAGAAAAGAAGAAGAAATTACCTTCACATTAATGCTTCTGAGTCCGCAAAAGTAGACTCAGTATGACTTACGAATACTACGAATTGATGCTTAATAAATACGAGCATGGGGTTTATATAGAGTTGGCAAAGCGGCAGTCGAAAACATATTTTCGACATGGGATTGTTGTCACAATTGTTCTCCTATACGGACTCGGTTGGCTAAGGGCGGCACGGCAGAAGTCTCCTATTTCAATTCGAGTTTGATGGAAGAAATTTGTCCCAAACAATATCTGATTCGGCGGACTTGAATCCCTTGGATAAAGCCGATGATGTTGCTGCATATTAAATGAAAGATGGTTGTGATTTGAATTACGTAATTCATGCAACGTCACATATTAACTGAATTGGAATTGTTTGAAGTATACCTGGGAGAGCTAACATATTTTGGAGTTTTTTAAAACTGGAAAATCATGACTTTGAGATTTACAATTCAATAGCTTTTATATATTGCGTGATTAGTCACAGAACAATGAATTTGAAATTTAAAGTTCAATGACTTTAATATTTCATGTGATCAAATGTACAAACACAAATACTTCAAGCCTAGTCTTTAAAAGTTTAAAGACTTTGACAAGTCTTGAAGTAGGGGGCATTTGTAGGCTTATAAATTTTATTAAAACTAAATCCATAAAATAATTTGGATTATATTTTAAATTCAAGATATATTGGTCCAGATAAATATATGGGCTAATATAATTGAATTAATTATATAAGGGGTTTTGACACAATTACCCACAAAAATAAAACTATTTACCCTTGTCTATCCATTTATTTTTCTACCCATAAACTAATTACATTTCCTACCCATAGTAATTTTTGTAGGGAATTCTTTCTTTATTCTCCAATTCTTTTTTATTTCTATGCTTCTTTTCTTTTTTCCTTTTTTCTTTTCTTTTCTCCTTTTCTTTTTTCTCATTTTCTTCCTTTTTTTATTTTTTTTTCTCTTTTATTCATTTATTTTTGCCCAAATTGTATTATTGTTATTTCTACCATAACTTATTTCACACTCAAATTTGACTCCTTCTTTATTTTTTTATTTTTATTTTTTTCTTTATTTCTTGTTTCTTTTTTAATTCCACGTGATTGCCACGCAAACCTTAATCTTCTTCCCTACAAATATTAGTATATACTCTACCTTTAGCAATAACACCAACCAGCGATGGAGCAAGACAATATAATCTACGGCCACTAAATCTCCATATATTCTAGTTAGAATAGAAAATAGAAATGATAATAAATATTGGAAAATGCAATAAAAATATAAGTAGCAAAAAAGACTTCTAGTACCACATGATACCAATAATGTATACATGTATACCAACAGAGTATATGATTGCTCTACAATATTGCTACAACTATCTGTGACTATACTACTGTACCAAAACATTAAAGGATACAATAAAAGTATGAGAAAATTACATGCTCGCATTGCAAGTTAAATATTCGCAAAGCAACTTGGTCATTCCATATACTAACAGGGTATATACTTGTATGGGTTGTTCCAACAATTGCCTATAATTATAAAAATTATTACATAATCTATATCCATAAGCACAAAAAAATTTCAGCACTGCAAATCACGTTCATATAAATAATTTCATAATAGAATTCCCTTAAAAATGCAGCCAAAACAATCAAAAAAAATGTTCAAACTACCATATGATACCAATATGGCATATAACTATACCAACATGGTATACAATTTTACTGGTTAATTCCCGGCAACTATATGACTATACTACTATTACATAATACACATGCATAAAGAGAAAAATAAAAAAATAGTGTACAACATATTAATGTAATAAAGTATTTCAAGATATTGAACTATATTGCTATTATTAAAAGAAAATCAAATATTGTACTAATAAATGCAGATAATACAACCCAAAAATGATTCAACTAGCATATGATATCAATATAGTATATAGCTATACTAATAGGGTATATAGTTGGAATGAATTGTACCAAAATGGTATATTTGTATACTATTTGAGTATACAATACAAATTCGTCTTCTTCTCTTGTTCAGCTATATTTCAACCCAAACTTCTAAAATCTACTACAAAATCTCCACCAAAATGACTAAAACTTTAGCTACAACCTCCAATCAACTTTCCAAACAAACCCATATAGGATCGGATCAAAATAATTAAAAACTCAAACAAACCAAGTTATGAGCTTCAAGATTCAAGGTCCTTCAATGGTGGATTAGAATTTTTGTGCAATAAATCTCCAAAAACGAGTTTGGGTGAAGAGAAAGAAGAAGGTATCAGTGAGAAACAAGTGTGAATTGCTATTGATGATGAACCCCAGAATACTACAATAAGAGAAAATCATTTTAGAATTAAACCCCATAATAGAAATGGAAACGAATTCAAGTGTTAACTCTAGAAAACTAATGGGTTTAGAGAAGAAGAAGAAAATAGAGGAAGAATGGAACTCCATTTACAGCTCTAAGCACCAACCCTCTCGTGCTGACTTCCTTCCCCAATTCATATTCGGCGTTGTTATGCTTACTAGGTTTCTTCCACTTCTATTTTATTTTAACCGGGTAAATAGTTTTGGCCCCATGGGTAGGAGTAGTAAATAATTTGGGTCTGGACATTAAAGGGTAAATAGTTTAGAATTAATGGGTATAAAGTGAGATTTTCTCATTATATAAGTCCAATATATATGGATTAAATAAGTCTTAATCTATTGGGCTAGCCCATTTAATTAGGCTAAAGTGATGAGCCCACTTCATTAAGCCCAAGATGATATCTTCCTAGAGGCCCAGTTTGGTGCCACGTATCAAATGACGTGGCGCGCCAAGTCAAGCGGAAGAGCCAATAAGACCATGCCACGTGTCAAATGACAAGGCATGCCCAGTCACACTAAAAGGCCAATGAAATCGCGCCACATGTGGAAGTGACATGTTCTGGCCAATCAAATGCGGTCATGTCACACTTCAATTTGATTGGTCGGAAAGAGTTTGTTCTTATCATGACTCCTCCCTTCCACAACTATAAATAGGGGTCTTCATAACTCAGAAAAGACACCAGAAGTTATAACAAGAAGCAAGAGAGAGCTCGTGGATCAAACGCCGCAAATTTCTCTACAACTTTCAAGCTTCAATCAATCAAGTTCAAGTTCAAGAACAAAGAGCAATTCAAGTATTCAAGATCAAGAACGAAGTCAAATCAAATACACAGCGTCCAAGATCAAGGCTACTTGTTTGTGATAAAATTCGTAGCAACAATCAAAGTGTTCGTGACGGATAAATCAAATTACAATTCAAGATCAAGCTCAAAGGCCCTTGAATTTATACTAGAAAAGTAGAATCAGAGGAATCATAGAGATTGTAACACTCAAATATTTGAAATAAAATACTACGATTGTTGCGATACTTTTCGGTCTTGATTTTATTTTCTCAACCCAAATTTATTGTCTACAATTACCTCTAAAATTTAGTAGGCGTTTGGACATAAGAGCTATAAAATTTCGGAATAATTAAAAAAAAATCAAATTAAAATGAAATTTAAAAATTAAAATTGTATTTGAACATGAATATAATTTGAAGTTGTTTTTGAATTTTAGTGACTGATTTGAAATGAAAATTTTGAGAAACAACTTTTTTGAATTTTTCAAATTTCCGAAAAAATTCCAGAATCCAACTTCAAGTGAAATTTAAAATTTTCATGGCCAAACTCTAATTCTGAAAAAAAAATCCAAAAAAAGACTGACTTTTTTATGGCCAAACGGGCCCTTAAAGAAACTGCAGCATTGAAACCACAAACAGCAATCAGATAGAGATGCTCATGATAATTCAGGCAGTCGACTGTACAAAAATCACAAAAACCAGTATATTGATCATTTTTATTGACTAAACCTTTTCATTACATCAGTATTCAACTTTTCTTCACCTAGTTAGTAGCAAAAAAAAAACATTTACATGGTTGTTGAGGGTCAAATGAGTACTAAAGATAGCACAATTCAAATGTACAAAGTTTTTTTTCGCGGTATGTGTGAATTGACGAATATATGCAGTGTCAAAACCTGTGTCAAGATCAACCAAAAGATGTTAAGCAGAAAGAAACAGAACACCAGCAGCCTATCCTCCGGCGCTAGGGTACTCGGGACTATCATTCGTAGGCAAATATTTATCAGCACAATGAGGCTTATACTTGGACTGTGGATTAGTTTTTTTGCGATTGTCATCGACAACCCTCCAGCATGGCTTAGTGTTCTTTCGTTCGAAAGCAAACTGAGCTTTTTTAGGCAACTGATTTGCTTTCACGACCGATAACTTCATCTTTCCAGTTGCGCCTTGATATCCATTGTCAATGCTCTTCAAAAAGTATTCCTCCACAAGATCAGCGTCTATTAGATCGCTTCTACCAGTTGGTAATCCCCAGTAGAATATGACATTAGGCTCTGATGCATCTGTGTCAACATATTCAGTCGGGTTGGGGTCGCAAAAACCTAGTAACTCCTCCAGCTGGATAGAAAGAACGAACGCCTCAATCAAGAAAGACTCCATTTGATAGTACAGACTAAAAATTCCCCGAATCATCTCAACAATTTAACACAACTAAACATACAGAATAATCTCATAAAGAAAAGGCGCATGTCGTTCTTAGCTAAAAAAAACCCTCCTATTTACTATTTGTGTTCACCAATATACAAATATGTCTGTACTATTGCTATTCATGACTCTCACATAACACCGGTAACATGGCCATTATCCACGCTTCACTATTATCACATGTCATTAATTTTTATCTCCAACTAGACGTTGGACAATGATTTAGAAATGGTCCTTTCCGAAACATATATTGTGCAGACAGTATTTTGTACTATAACGAGCATAGGAAAAAACAATGTCCGGAAAATAGGCAAAGAAAGAGCACAACAAACTGGAAACTCTTGATTCTGAGGATGGTCATGAAACTTGTACAATTACTTCTCAAAAGTAGTGGTGCAGTAACAATATAGCATCAGTTTACGATTGTTGTGATAATTGCCTTCCTGTTTGAGATTCATCATTATGTTCAGTACAAATCTTAGTTTACGATGGAGACAGTAAGAGCCGGGAAAAAAACTTTTCGGTTTCAGCATGGAAGAGTGGAAGTCACCTAAGAACAATGCAGAAATAAATTATCCTTCAAAGTCGATATGCATATAAGGGTTCAAGCCTCCACAACTGTACAAAAAAAATTAGATCAAACATGATTGGGATGTCTTATGCAGGACTAAATCTGTCTCAGAATTTGATCAGTATAACTTATCGGATTTTAATGGGGCCTACTCTGTTCAGTAAATCCTAGCAGCCAAAATGCCCATGCAGTAAGCTAAAATAGTGGTGATATCATTACTGTAACAGAGAAAACAAGTCAGCCGCAGGTACATACCTTGACCAGTAAAGAGCGAAAGCGTGACTTGATCCAACCAACCCAGTCTCCTAACTCATCTTTGTCACAAGCTGAGAGGAAAATTTTGACGAATAGTCCGTATCTTCTTGCATAAGGAAATGGCTCAAAAAGGATATTCCAATCAAAATCTGGCCTCAACATATCCTGCAGTAAAATTATATACAGCGAGTGGTGAAGGGAAAAAAAACTACATTCATGCACACGACCTTTTGAGTCCTCGAACTCCCTCAAACGTCAAGAGGACTAAGGATTAGCTTGAATATAAGAGGAGAAAAGAAGAACAAAAGAAATAACCAGGACGACACATGACAGGATATATTAGAAATTATCATATACCTTTGTCAGCATATGCCCTCTTAGGAACTCTGTCCTGATTTTATAGAATGTACTTCTGGTAATGTTGGAATGACAAAATTCGTATGGGCTACACGGTAACTGGATTGGCATCCACGAAACCTTATCGGCGGGGATGAATGGCCGAGCTATAGTCTCTTGCAATATTACCGGAGTTGGCCAAGGCCATAAGCCAAATGTCTTGAAGAAAAGTAAAATGAGTGCGCTTAAGCTGGCGGATGGATGCCTTTGGCAGATGAACGCTGAAAGCACTGCCAAGTGAATTCCTCCAAAGAATCCAAGCAACTGAAGGTTATCGGACAATTGGTTTTGATTTGTGGCCGGCAAAAGATAATGTTAGCACAAGTATAAAAGCAAGTGAAGCAGGGCACCAAGTCATGAATCTTACATTTCCATAAACTCCTCGTCTTTTGGCCCAAAATTTGATGCAACGCAGCACTGCTTGGAATATCTGTAGCATATTAACCAAGAATGTTATAACGGCAACTCTCACACTAAGTCAAATTAAATGATTCTTACTAATCACGTAATGTCAAACCAAGCAATTCCTATCAACTACTACAATATCTGCAAAAAGAAATTTCTCTTTGCTTATACCAGATATCAGAAAGTTGATGCATGACTACTTTCGGCAATCGGCAATTTCATTCTTCAGTAAACAAAAATTTTGACCCATTATCAAACACATTTCAGATTCTACCTTACCAAAATTTTTGATTTTAAGCTTAGGTGAAGATGGTTTAAACAGAAACTGCAAATAAAATTAAGAAAAGGTATCATTTTCTTATGCCTACTGCCAAGCCAACGGCTCTAGACAGACCAAGTTTATATGACGAACTCAACTTTCAAGCAACTCTACAAACTAAAAGAGTGACAAGTTGACACCATTACTTGCCTCTATGTTTGGCACAAGATGAAGAATGCTCCTATTGGCACGCACACCAGACAAACTTTTCCAGGTCGTGTCATCGATATTCTTCAGAAAGAATGGATTGAAAACATCCACATTCTAGATATAAAGAGAAAATCAATAACATTTAGTAAGTTTATAGTATCTGCAGAGGAAGGCACTTAGGACTTTTTGAACTGTAGTGAGCAAATTAACAGCAATATAACTGTAAACTCACCTCAGGGATGGATATTACTTTGAGTCGTGCATAGGGAAGATCAATGGATATCCCATCAAATTTGAATCGCATCAGAGGAACTTTTGCATCCTTGACACAATGGATTTCCGATACTTCAGGCCTGCTCGCAAGCATGTTATGCAGAACGATGAAAAAATCTTCCTACAAAAGCAACAATGAGATACACATGACATGTATCACTATAAGGAATTGCACAACCTCATATTAGATTCAAAGAAGCTAAAAAGGAAAAAAGACTCACAGCTATAGTGGCAAAGTAGGGACCAACACACAAAGCATCAATATCTGACTCTGAATTATAAACCTGCAAAACGTGGAAAGTGTCAGAAGATGAGGAAGCTGCAGCAGAAAAACAAGCAGATTAGCTCTTATGTCGCAACAAATTATCAGTTGTGATGCTAAAATGGAGGGAGTGACAGAATAATGCTTCTGCTATACAGCATAGACCGGATTGACATTGTTAAAATACAGTTTCAATCATCTCCTAGAAAGAATAAAACGGTTTTAGGAAATTTTCAAATTTAAACTACGGTTCATAACAAGAAAATGTGAATCGGATAACCAAAACAGCACTTATTATCCAACATAAATATCTGTGATCAACAATAGTTCATTTTCCAACAAGACCAAAAAATCAAAGGAAATTGAAGGAATAATTATGGAATTAGACTTACCCCTAGACCATACGATCCATATGTCAATATTGTCCCAGAGGCAAACTTAAGGTATTTTTTTGGAAGACCTCGCTGATAAGTCACCGTTTTAACCCATTCCACTACTATCTGCAAGATTATATCGTATAAACAACGTGGCAGAAAAGCCTTTGTAGCTTTATGGAATCTAGAAGTCAATCACAAAATTAATATAATTGGAAATGACTGAAACCCAACATAAAACACTAAAACTCCCAAGTAACAGGTGATTCTTATTCGTCTTTTGTTTTCCTTTTCTTTTTCCTATGGCTGATATGTTACAACAGCAACATACCTAATGTAGCCCCACAAGTGGGGTCAGGGGAGGGTAGTGTATACGCAAACCTTATCCCTACCTTTAAGAAGGCGGAAAAGGCGGTTTCCGGTAGACCCTCGGCTCAGGAAAGATAAAGGGAAGGGGCCATAACAAGTAAATCAATCGAAAAACCGAAGCAAAAATACAAAACTAACACTAGGTAATGCAATCAGAAAACCGAAACAAAGGCAACAACAAGTAATAACAGAAGTCTAGGAATACGAAAATTTGAGACCTTATATCATAAATTTGATATAAGGTAGTCAGATGAATGATCAACTGGACCTTATATCATAAATTTGAGACCAATTACATAACCTTTAAGTAATACAACTTGTCAACAAAGGCAGATTCTGGATTTTAAGCCTATTGGTGCAGAATACCACTACATCCACTACTTCTTTACTACAATATGTTTGGACTTCGATAACAACTGCATCTCAGTCCCAAACAAGTTGGGAGTTTTTGGATTTAACATTATAATGTAAAATTTATACTTGTTGAAAATTTACAACTATGATTATATAACTCGAATCGGAGCAGCGGATGCACCCACACCTGCTGCTTTCCATAAACAGACATTCTATTCAAACAAATGAGCAAAATATATATCAAATACAGAAAAATAAATAGGCCAAATAAACATTATGCTCAATAAAGAACCTTTTTAAGCTTGTCGATAGCATTTCTCCTCTTCATTTCCTCCTCTGCAGATGGCACTAAACCTTCATTTACCATCATCTTCAAACAATTAAAACCATACTAATCAGAAACAAGAGAAAATTAATTTTAAAAAAAAAAAACAAATGATCACAATTCACATGCATGCAAAAATACACACACACGCATACACTACCTGAAAAAGAGACATTGATCTTTCCATTTCCATTCTCAAAATCACATCTGGGCTTCGTCTGAAACCCAGAATTCTTGTAAAGGGTGGATTCAAATGGCTTAATTGGTTTTCAAAAATTCCAAATTCCATGAAAAATTGTCAACCAAAAATTCAAGAATCTTGAAATTCCAAACGATTCTCTCAAGAATCTCGAAAACTACAGAATCAGAGGATCCCCAACTATTCAGGGACTACGGAACTATATTGACGGACGGGTATTAAGGCCTTGTTTGGTTTATGTATAAACTATGCTAATACTTTGCATAAAATTCAGCATTAGTAATACATCTTGGTCACCTTTTTAATACTCTTGCGTAAAATTCAGTGTTAGCAATCCTGACACGTAGGTGTTTGGTGTCAGAATTTCGGGATGTAGTACTTTAATTTTTAAGTTACTTTTTAAGTTAATAAATTCCAAATTAATATTTTATACTCCTAGTTCACTTTTAGTTGTCACGTTGTGACTTTTCACGCTCTTTAAGAAATAATAAATGAAGTGCATAATTTACTAGTAATTGATGCATATTATTAATGATTTTGAGAAAAAAATTTAAAATGCAAAAATAGACAAGTAAAAGTAAAAATCTATTTTTAGAATAGTGGACTGGTAAAAGTAAACGGGGAGTACATACTTAATAAAAAATTTAAAATGAGATTTGAAATAAAGCTATTTATTTCAATAAATTATACTTTAGCTTTGCCGTTTTAAATAATACTAAATGCAGCTGAGCCACAGTGTTGGTTGCGGGTTCGATGGAACCAGTAATTTTTGTTTAAATTTTGTATTTGTATAATAAATTCAATGAATATATATAAATTATTAATTTAGAATTTAATAATTTAAAAATATTATAATCCATGAACTCATAAGGTTCAAATCCAAACTTCGTATCTGGCTATTACGTAGAATAGAATGTAAATAAGAATTTAAGAGTCAGTAATATAAGAATTAAAATAAGTAAAATATCCAATATAGCCATATCTTAGTGTTTGTCCTGCTCTATTCCAAGATTCTAGAAATTTGTGTCGTCTGTCATAAGTCGTGAAAGCAGTCCTATTCGTATTTCAGACGCCTTTTTGACAATATGTGATAATTAACTAACAATGAGACTCTATTAGTGCTTGTTTGGTACAAGCAGCAACAACAACAATCCAGTAAAACCTTACTAATGGAGTTTGGGGAGGGTAGTGTGTACGCAGATCTTATCCCTACCCCGAAGGAGTAGAGAGACTATTTCCGAAAAATTCTCGACTTAATAAAACAAAAGGACAAAAGCAGAGAATATTAGTATCACCACAGAAATAATAAGAAAAAAAATATGAACATGAAATCCCGAAGAAAGATGCAAAGTAAAGCGATAGCTATTAAATACGTCATGCACTGAAATAGTAAGACACAACAATGGCACTAGCTATCTTAGGTAAAAACCCTACCAGACTAGTCTCGCAAAGGTATAAGTAAGGCAAGACTCAACTACCTCCTAACCTACAACCTTAATACTCGACCTCCACAACTTCCTATCAAGTGTCATGTCCTTGGAAATTTGAAGCCTTGTCATATCATGTTTGATCACCTCTCCCCAATACTTCTTAGGCCGCCCTCTACCTCTTCTCGTGCCCTCCACATCTAGCCGCTCGCGCCTCCTTACCGGAGCATCTGGACTTCTCCTCTGAACATGCCCGAACTATTGAGCCTCGCTTCCCGCATCTTGTCCTCAATGGGAGCCACTTGCGCACCTTCTCTCGAATATCATCATTCCTAATCTTATCCATCCTAGTGTGCCCGCACATCCACCTCAGCATCCTCATTTCTGCTACTCTCATCTTCTGGGTATGTGAGTTCTTAACAGGCCAACACTCAGCTCCATACATCATTGTCGGTCTAACCACCGTTTTATAGAACTTACCTTTGAGAATCGGTGGCACTCTCTTGTCACACAAGACTAGCCTCCACTTCATCCATCCTACCCCAATACGATGTGTGACATCCTCGTCGATCTCCCCTCCCCCCTGGATAATCAACCCAAGGTACTTGAAGTTTCCTCTACTTGGGATGACCTGTGATTCAAGCCTCACATCCACGCCCACTTCCCACGGCTCAACGCTGAACTTACACTCCAGATATTCCGTCTTCGTCCTGCTCAGCTTGAAACCCTTAGACTCAAGAGCTTGTCTCCAAACATCTAGCCTCTCGTTAAGACCGGCTCGCGACTCATCAATCAGAACTATGTCATCGGCGAATAGCATGCACCATGGCACATCCCCTTGAATATGGTGCGTTAACGTGTCCATCACCAAGGCGAATAAGAACGGACTGAGTGCAGAACCTTGGTGTAACCCCATTACAACCGAAAAATGTTCAGAGTCTCCTCCTACTGTCCTAACCCGAGTCTTAGCCCCATCATACATGTCCTTGATCGCCATAATGTACAGTACCGACACACCTTTTGCCTCCAAGCATCTCCAGAGAACTTCTCTAGGAACCTTGTCATATGCTTTCTCCAGGTCAATAAACACCATATGCAAATCCTTCTTTCTCTCTCTATACATTTCTATCAACCTCCGGAAAAGGTGTATAGCTTCTGTAGTCGAACGACCCGGCATGAATCCAAACTTGTTGTTGGATATAGACACAGTCTTCCTCACCCTTGCTTCAACCACCCTCTCCCACACTTCTATGGTATGGGTAGTTTGGTACAAGAGATAAGAGATAATTAATTTCAAAATTAAATTTAAGATGAGTTTATCCCATATATTGGAATAAAATTGTGGTATATCTAATCCCGAGATTAGTTATCCCTGAACTGTAGAGTTATTTTTATCCCTACGGAAAGATGGAATAACAATCTCAAAATAATTAATCTTGAGATAACTTATTTCCAACCAAACGACCCCTTCGTGGATGCGGCAAAATGTATGACTGAATAAATGCAACAGCCAAAGCTGTTTAGTTCATAGATTAGATACACAAAGATGATGATGTAACAATGATTGATACGCGATGAGTAATAATGTAAGTGGGCGTTTGGACATAAAAATTGTAAAATTCCAAAATAAGGTGAAAAAAATTTTCAATTGAAAATAGTATTTGAAATTTAGAGTTGTATTTGGATATGAATATAATTTTGGGTTGTTTTTGACGTTTTGTGAGTGATTTGAGTGAAAATTTTGAAAAACGATTTTTTGAAGCTTTTCCAATTTTTCAAAATTTCCAAAATGCATCTTCAAGTGAAAATTGAAAATTTTATGAACAAACGCTGATTTTGGGAAAAAAGTGATTTTTTTTTAAAAAAAAAGGAAAAATTTCTTATGTCCAAATGGCCTCTAAGAATTGTTATTTGCCGACTAAAAAAAGTAGAATTTGTTGTGCATGAATGCCTATTTTCAATTATTTTTGAATTTAGATACTCTTTACTATGTATTGTATGTAATTTACGTACTCGTAATTGATATTTTATCGCGCATGTAATAATACAAAAATATTCGCTTATGTTAGTGCAAACATTTGTAATGCAAGGTTTTAAAAGTGGAGACGTGTATTAGTATTCAGAGTCTTAAGCCAAAAATCAAATAGGGGTCTTTACATAAATAGCCAGACATATTCATTCTTTAATTTTCTTAACCGGTGTACATAGATTGTACATTTATTATATATAATATACACATATTATATATAAATTATTTATATATTATATATCTATCGGCTATTTTAAGTTTAAGTAGTTGGGTAGACAACTATTTAGGTTAATAGCATGTTTGGCCAAGCTTTTTTTCCGGCCAAAAGTGCTTTTTTGCCAAAATTAAGGTGTTTGGCCAAGCTTTTTGAAGGAAAAAAAGTGTTTTTGAATAGAAGCAGAAGCAATTTTGAAAAAGCAGAAAAAAGTAGTTTCTCTTCAAAAACATTTTTTTAAAAAGCATTTTTGAAAAAAATATACTTAGAAATACTTTTTAAAAGTTTAGGCAAACACTAGTTGTTGCTCAAAAGTGCTTTTCAAATTAATTAACCAAACACAAACTACTTCTTATCAAAAATACTTTTTTGAAAAACACTTTTGAGAAAAGCGTTTTTCAAATAAGCAGATTTTAGAAGTTTAGCCAAACAGACTATAATTCTTCTGACAAAATGACAAAAGAGATTGCTTTAGCATGGAGAGCTTTATGTTAGATCAATTTTTGAAGTCCAGTTTGTGGGCTACTCTTTTATTTCTATCAGATAGCCCTGATCTTGGCCTGCTACATTTTGGATTCTAAAACAATCTGCTCAGATTCTCAACTCCTGCATTTTTTTTGCTTGAGAAAGCAGAACTGACTAATTTTTACCTTTCCTCATCATTAGTTACCGGGGAGAAATTAAAAAATAGCCAGATTTATAAATAGTCATTCAAAAATAGCTACAGTGTTAAAAATAATCGAAATTTAGCCACTTTTCATGTAAAGATAAATCTGAACGAAAATACTGTTCAAAATCTGGAAAAATACTCCAGCATAATATACTGAAGTTCCGGTTTAATATACCGGTCCAACATAATATGCTGGAAGTTCATACACAGGTGCACTAAACTCCAGTATATTATGCTGGACCGGTCTCTGTTGTAGCAAAATAATGGTTATTTTTCAATGACTTGACAAACGCTGACTATTTTTGAATGACCAGTCCGAAAACTGGTTAGCCCATGCTAGATTAGAAGTATATATTTACTTGTTTAAAACAACAGTCAAAAAAGATTGGCTGGTTTCAAGATTGTGGTTGCACTGTTACCAAGAGATTTTATCTTTTGCAAGAATGGCTATGCAGTCTATCGAAATAGTTTCTCGATCTTCACAAGGCAGGGGTAAAATCTGCTATGCACTACCCTGTCCAGACCTCACTTGTAGGACCATACTAGGTTGTTGTTGTTGCTGCAAAGAACATGTGGGCACTGAACAAATGTAGCATCATCATTAGAAAATACTCTCATCGTTCGCCAATGGAATGAAATGAAGGTTTTCAAAGATATAGTAGGATGAGAGGAGTCTAAATAACTCAAAATAACCTCAAACTTCATCTGTTCATCTCACAGCTGGTCATATTTCCAGGCTAGAAGCTCTAAATCTGGCTCTAATCAGTAAAGAATATGTTTTGGTGGTTTTGTCATTGTAAACAGAACTTTGGTGTATCCTCCATTTCACCACCAGAATGAAAGAGCATATAAACCAAACTATTTCTTCCTATAGAGATAAAATGATATGAGAAAAAAAAAGGGCACCCCTGTGCACTAAGCTCCTGCTATGCGCAGGGTCCGGGGAAGGCCGGACCATAAGGGTCTATTGTACGCAGCCTTACCCTGCATTTCTGCAAGAGGCTGTTTCCACAGCTCGAACCGAATGCAAGTCAAATAAATATTTTTTTGGGGGGGTGGGCGAGAACTTATGAACAACCAACAGCGAGACCACATCATAGTCAGCTTCATATGGAACAAAAGACTGCAATATCATAGCAACTTTACATCATATTCAGACTATACTGAACAGATATCAACATATAAATTCACTACATTCATGTCGAAACCACCCTTAAAGGTTCCACAAAACGTACACAGTATGATAAAAAATCAAGTCAATGACCACTCAAAGAGATAAAATTAGACTAATGATGGCATATGTACAATAGTTGAATAGGGAAATGTACACGATCGTCGGATCAATGGCAGGAAAAAAGAGTGCTTCTAAAGGCATGTGCTGAGAACCATAAAGGCAAGGTTGAGCTGTCCTTTACAGAGTACATCTCCTTCCATACTCGGCCGTTTCTGCTATACCAAAACCTGCTTATGTGTAGCAAGGTAAAGATAGTTGCCAGTTTGACTTATGGAGAAATGCCCGGTATCCCTCTACTGCATCAAAGCTACATCTGTAGCTCCGAGCCGAAACCACCTTCGACGTTCCACACAACATATACAGTATGACAGGATATCAAGAAGACGACCGCTCAAAGAGATAGGAGTCAGATTAGTGATAGCACTATGTACAACAGTTGAATAGGAAGATGTATACAATCCTCGGATCAATGGCAGGAAAAGAGAGTGCTCCTAAAGGCATGAGCTGAGAACCATAAAGGCAAGGTTGAGCTGTCCTTTACAGAGTACATCTCCTTCCATACACGGCTGTTTCTTTGATATATCAAAACCTGCTTATGTGTAGCAAGGTAAACATAGTTTCCAGTTTGACTAATCGGGAAAATGCCTGGTACCATCCCTCTAATGCATCGAAGACTCACTTTATCCACCATTCGCCATTCTTCCTTCTCATAATTTTCCATTACCCAAATAACCATCCAAGCCTCATATATCTGAATCACAGACAAACATCCATCCAATTCCAACAAATAAACACGACTCCTAACTCCACAACTAATTTCCTCAGGCAATTGTATTTTCCTCCAAAAATCAGTAGCCAAATCAAGAACAAGCATACACGAACAACTATCCGTCAACCAATGCAATCCACCATTAATAAACACAACTTGGTTCTTATTCATACGCGTAAATTGATCGTCCTGCAACGACACAAACTTCCTCCATTTGTTCGACTCCGAATCATAGACCATGCATATAAACGTCCTCTCGGGCCTATGACCAAATGACCTATGATAACCAGCTAAAACCACATTGTACTTTTGTGTTATCAAATCACAAGCCAAACCAACAAGAGTGGCTTCGCCATCGGGATGAAACCTAGTAATAGGTCTTTCCCTACTTCTAGGAAGCAATTTATATTCTCTAGTCAATGGATTACAAACATAATAAACATCCTTATCAGGTATACTAGACAAACATAATAAACCATTACAAGAACCTCTAACTTTGACCCGATCTTTAACAAAATCCAATGAAAATTCAGACACCCCTTTCAAATTATCAACACAAATCAAACTAGATCTTGATTCAGATGAAGGCTCACTGACCTGAACAAGTACCATAGGATTCTTAACTGAGAGTTCATTATATAGATTTGTAAAATATTTATCAGATATTAATTTGTACCAAAGTTTGCATACAATTTTTGTCTTAAAAAGTGATTTAACAGGTAATCTAGCAAGAATCTGAAGAATTACTTCATCTGGGAAAACCCCAAATGGTGAATTCATCTTAAAATTTGTTTTTGGGGTTAAAAAATATGAGAAAAAAATTATAGAAATGGAGGAAAGACTCACCCTTTTTCACATTTTTGAGGTTTCTTTTGCAATTTGATGAAGATGGGGGGATTGAATTAGTTTGTAAATGGAAGAAAATAAGGATGAATTTGTGAAGCTGAACTATCAAATTTTGATGTTGGAATAGAAAAAGAAGGTTATCAATTTCTGAGAAGATCAGTGAAAATGAAACGGCTAATTCTCGATTTTGTAACAGAATATGCCCTTTTATTACACTTTAATAATGACACATTATGATTTAAATATTTATTTATATAAAAAAATAATAAAATTTAATTAATAAGAAAATTTTTATATATAATATTACAACAATCATCTAAATACCAAAAAATATTGTTACATTAGTATAATACGTGAATTCAAAAGGAAAGAACATCGTCGTAACCTACATAAATGATCAATTTTAGTCATGTCAAGTAGATAATTACGTATTGTAGTTTAAAGGTATCTAATGTGATGTCATCTTACCGACCACTTCTTTATAAACGGTGTTTTATTTGTATATGTTTCCTTATAATACTTTGGTTATTCTGCCATAACCAGAACTCATGTTGTCGATATTGATATCTCTATTGAAAGTGCAACATATAGTTACTCGCATAAGAAAATATATTATGGTAAATATAGTCCAATATTTAGGATGTTTGCGCTTGTGCTTTATTTATTATAACTACAAAACATAAACATACTGAAAATTATTTTTACACAAATTTAGAAGGATATTCTTTAGTTTCGGAAGACGAAAGTTAAATTTAGGGATAAACACATACTTAGGAGCACATTGATCAGTATCATAAGTTTTGCATGTATGACGTTATTATCAAAACTTCTATACATCATATGTGTACTATTACATAAGCTATTTAGCAGATCTAAGTTTGCAGTAGCATGACTGACATATTTTTCTTCAAAATCAACCTATATGCAATGAAAGATCAATTTTAACTTAGCCTATATATATATATATATATATATGGTCACAGTAACATAGTTAAGAAATAATGAACTTGACAACAAATATGTACATTAGAAGACCATTTGGTATTAAAGTATTTAAATATTCTTCTTGGTAATAATTGTTGGTATCATCTTCTGGTGAGTCAAAGTCAAAACTAAAAAGTATTTTATTTTTACCATAAAACTTAGCAATCAACATTTTATTTAGTGGATCAACAAATTCATTCTTACTATCTAAGATAGCTCTTTAATTTCAATCATGTAATTCTCCTAAATTGCGTTTAATCCAATAACGAAAATATTCTCCTTATTAAATGCATTATTATTACCATTGGGGTTGATAACCAAGTGTTCTACAAGAACCAAATCATCTTTTATTGGACGTTCTTCTTCGTTTCCGAGACGAAGCAAGAAGTCACTGAATGTTGAATCTGTTCTTACTTTTATATTTCTTGTCATTTGAGTATTTTTCATTTGAGGTCATAAGTATAATTAAGGCAAGCTAGCTTTTACGGTTTCTGATTTCGTCAATTTTTCGTACTTGACAGAAATCACCTCCCTAAAATCTTTTTTTAACTTGAAAAATAATTTTACTCATATGAAGATTTTAAAAAATAATCTAATTGGATTCTCTTGCTAAATAATTAATTAATTTTTTTGATTATTTGGTTTAACATAAAGTATAATTTATTTTCTATTGATTTACATTCTTAATAATAGTTCATCTCATATTTGAATATTTAACCGTAATTATAATTTTATCCACCATAAATTTATTTTTAAAGAGTAAAAAGATCAATTTGACATTCCACTTTTAGATCTTTATGTTTGCAAATCATTAGTAGTATTGGCTCTTACCAATCTTTTTTTTTCTCACACATTTATATTCTTAAAAATTTTCTTAGTTGTTCTTTAATAACTGGATATATTTTTCTACATTACACGAAAAATTAATAATAATAAAAATATTATTTGAGTAGAGAGCAGTTCAGATATAATATAATAATATATTATTGCAGGGATTTTTTTTCTCAATTTCAACGCTCTATGCAATCCTTTTAGCATTTTTTTTATTTTTTCTTGGTATTGAATATTATAGAGTGGTAATGTATTACCACCACTATGGAGGATTCTTATGAAATTTTTTTTTTATTAAACTTTCCTACATATTTTTAATAAGAATCCAATAGATAAGATTGTATTAATTTTAAAATCTTAAATATTAAAAAAAATTAACATAGAAGTTATTGTAGTTCTAAAAAATAAGTTATTACAACTATGTCGTTTCCGTGTGAGTTCTTCTGTTTAATATTTTAGGGTTATTTTGGTATATTCAATATTATATTTGTGATTTTATAATAATATAGGCTCTCTTGTTTTTCTAAATGGATTTAGACAATATAATACGTTTTAAAATTAAATTAGCAATAGAAATTTTTTAAGAAGTATATCATAAAAGTAATAGGATTACATGTCTAAAAAATATATCCATATCCCAAAAGTAATTATACTAATAGAAAATCTAACATGTTCCTAAATTTATTATGTTTACATGCTAACACNTATTATATTTACATGCTAACATGTAGTATTATATATCTATGCCCGAACATAATTACACTAATGGAATTTCTAAAGGTAATCATGTAGGATTCCTAACGTGTAGTATTATGTCCTAAAACTAATAGGATTACAAGGCTAATGTCTAGAATTCTGGTTATGTCCTTTTATTATGAGTTATTATACTTTAGATGATTGTTGTATTATTACAACAACAACAACAACAACAACAACAACAACAACAACGACCCAGTATAATGCCACAAGTGGGGTCTAGGGAGGGTAATATGTACGCAGACCTTACCCCTACCCCGAGGGGCAGAGAGGCTGTTTCCAGGAGACCCTCGGCTCAAGAAAGCAACAAGAGACGATATATTAGTACCACCAATAGACTCATAATAAAATAACAGGAATATAAGAGATACGAAATACGGAATACGAAATACGAAATAGATGGATGGTATAGTAAAAACCAACAGATAAAGTTCTACATCAGTAAACGACCAATAGCATCCTCAGACTAACTCCTAACTGGCTAGTCTCACTTTATTGTGCTGTTGAAATATTCAGAACTTTTTCTTAACCTATAACCTTAATGCTCGACCTTCATAATTCTTTGTCAAGGGCCATGTCCTCAGTAATCCTAAGTCGCGTCATGTCCTGTCTGATCACCTCTCCCCAATACTTCTTAGGTCGCCCTCTACCTCTCCTCGTGCCCACCACAGCCAGTTGCTCACACCTCCTCACCAGTGCATCAGGCTCCTCCTCTGAATGTGCCCGAACCATCTGAGTCTTGCTTCCCGCATATAATAATAATTTGTATTATTATATATATAAATTTATCTTATTAATTAAATTTTATTGTTCATTCATATAAATAAATATTTAAATCATCATGTGTCATTATAAAAGTTGGAACCCCAAAATTTAAAATTAAATTATTGAAATAACAAAAATTATTGAAATAACCTTCTAAATAATTGCAATGTACCTTATTTAATAATTTAATAATATTAAAATAAAAGAAAGTGACTTTTGGACATTTACGAAACGTCCTTTTAAGGAGATTCTTGAACTTTTCATAAGAGTGTGCTGACATTGCGTAGTGTAAATTTGATTCTTTTATATATGAATTTTAGTAGTAACATAACCTAACGTATAGTATTATGCTTAATATTTATATTCTCTAGTCAATGGATTACAAACATAATAAACATCCTTATCAGGTATACTAGACAAACATAATAAACCATTACAAGAACCTCTAACTTTGACCCTATCTTTAACAAAATCCAATGAAAATTCAGACACCCTTTTAAATTATCAACACAAATCAAACTAGATCTTGATTCAGATGAAGGCTCACTGACCTGAACAAGTAACATAGGATTCTTAACTGAGAGTTCATTATATAGATTTGTAAAATATTTATCAGATATTAATTTGTACCAAAGTTTGCATACAATTTTTGTCTTAAAAAGTGATTTAACAGGTAATCTAGCAAGAATCTGAAGAATTACTTCATCTGGGAAAACCCCAAATGGTGAATTCATCTTAAAATTTGTTTTTGGGGTTAAAAAATATGAGAAAAAAATTATAGAAATGGAGGAAAGACTCACCCTTTTTCACATTTTTGAGGTTTCTTTTGCAATTTGATGAAGATGGGGGGATTGAATTAGTTTGTAAATGGAAGAAAATAAGGATGAATTTGTGAAGCTGAACTATCAAATTTTGATGTTGGAATAGAAAAAGAAGGTTATCAATTTCTGAGAAGATCAGTGAAAATGAAACGGCTAATTCTCGCTTTTGTAACAGAATATGCCCTTTTATTACACGTTAATGACACATTATGATTTAAATATTTATTTATATATATAAAAAAATTAATTAATAAGAAAATTTTTATATATAATATTACAACAATCATCTAAATACCAAAAAATATTGTTACATTAGCATAATACGTGAATTCAAAAGGAAAGAACATCGTCGTAACCTACATAAATGATCAATTTTAGTCATGTCAAGTAGATAATTACGTATTGTAGTTTAAAGGTATCTAATGTGATGGCATCTTACCGAACACTTCTTTATAAACGGTGTTTTTTTTGTATATGTTTCCTTATAATACTTTGGTTATTCTGCCATAACCAGAACTCATGTTGTCGATATTGATATCTCTATTGAAAGTGCAACATATAGTTATTCGCATAAGAAAATATATTATGGTAAATATAGTCCAATATTTAGGATGTTTGCGCTTGTGCTTTATTTATTATAACTACAAAACATAAACATACTGAAAATTATTTTTACACAAATTTAGAAGGATATTCTTTAGTTTCGGAAGACGAAAGTTAAATTTAGAGATAAACACATACTTAGGAGCACATTGATCAGTATCATAAGTTTTGCATGTATGACGTTATTATCAAAACTTCTATATATCGTATGTGTACTATTACATAAGCTATTTAGCAGATCTAAGTTTGCAGTAGCATGACTGACATATTTTTCTTCAAAATCAACCTATATGCAATGAAAGATCAATTTTAACTTAGCCTATATATATATATATATATATGAACTTGACAACAAATATGTACATTAGAAGACCATTTGGTATTAAAGTATTTAAATATTCTTCTTGGTA